GCGCTCCATCATAAACGATGTCGAAATCGCGATCGGTAAAACTAGCATAGCATGGAATGAACACGCAATAGATTTGTAAACGAGTGAAACAACACAAATGTACATAGCATGGAAAATAGACACTAGACTAATCAACTAGAGAAATAATACAAATGTACATAGAATTAGATTCCAAACCAGAAGTAACTAATTATATAACTTATCAACTAGGGAAATAATACAAATGTACATAGAATTAGATTCAAAACCAGAAGTAACTAATTCTATAAAAAATAATTATGGCGGTGATCCCCTTCCATATACAGCAGACAATATCTAACACAAGTAAACTAAACCCAATTGGTTCTAATAGGGCCATACACAGATGGAATTGGTCTGGAATCGGTAAGGGCGCCTCAAAAACTATGTAATAATGTAAAAAGCCACAGTTAACATGCATAACTACATATGGCCGAGATGACCCATTATAGTCTGAAAACCTACATAATCCTAAATACTTGTAGAGTTCCAATTCCTTATCTCCAGATCCCTGACCTTGTTTAATATTGTCATAGCATTACACCACGAATTACAGATAAGATAGCCCTACCCTTCCTTTGTCCAAGAATAATCAGTCTACTATTACGATTATAAAGATGAAGTCGTTAGCTTTCGTTCTACTTATTGTCTGCATAGTTGGTAAGTAAGACTTGTATGTATTGATAAACGTTCCATAGAACAAACGCATAAATGAAGTGAAGTAAACATGTAGATATCTATTGATTATGCCGGGACTTTGACACAGGCGTGAATCGACTCGAACTCCCAAGACCCCACTTACATTTTTCAAAGTTGAATTTCGAACTTGAACTAGGCTAAAATAATTCAGAATGGCAGAATCGAAGTTTTAACATTGGTGGCTTGTACAAACAACTGGAATAATTTCTAATCAGAGTAGAAAAGGTTTAATTATTGGTTTAATTATACCGTGACAATCATTACAGCGTGACGATGAGCGTACTAGTGGTTCAATGTTTATATAAGTAAAAAATAAAGTGAATAGAGATGTTTCATACATGGATACAGTTGGTACAGTCCTATCAAAGTTCTGTATCATACTGGTAGGGACCTCAATATTCCAGGGTTGTAGAGTTATTTTCTATTCCAGAATGTCGGCATGTAATACATTGTTCAATATGCACGGATATTGATCAACAGACCACAGCCTCGCCCAAATAATACCTGCATGTGTAAGGTCGTTCCTACATCATGCCTTGCAATAGTCAGGCATAATACATTTCGTTACATTGACGTGATAGAATAGATATAATCTACAAAGGTGTGTCTTGTATGTGGTACAACCCTGGATTCGAAAATATTGTCCTGTTTTTCCCAACGATTTTGTTTTCAATTTCGTTCCATATTCCAAAATAGTATCATCGCACAAAAGATTGTTTCAAACCTCACATGTAGTAACGTGTGAGTTTTCCTTTCAAAAGAAAAGAAAAAGACTTCAAACATGACGTCGTATTTTCACTTATCCGCGATAAACGATTTTATTTGATTTTACTATCTTCAATCCTTTACTCATCGACCACACTATTCACTTTAGATGCCTTTGATAATTCAATAATACATTCTTGTTCAAAATAATAACAAAACCTATCTACGAAACAAGAGGACGCTTCCCTCTCCGTTTGTGACACGTTATACATCTGTACATATCCTATTCCTGCTATGTTGGTGTTTTAGGAAGTGTGACGTCAAAATCTCTGGAGTCCAAATCACTTCTAGATTCCATCCTCGGACATCATGGAGGCTGTTTCGGACCACTAGTGGACTGCTTTGCTGATCCATGCATGATGTCGACATGTTCGAATACGAATGCAATGAAATGCGTGTAAGGGAAACAATTATTTATGTTTGAAGGGGAGGGGGTGTTCCGTTTGTTTTGTGGTTTTCTCAGTACCTGCTGTCTTAACGTCATCAATATATATACGGGTAATATGTGTCGAGGTGGGTGATGCGTTTTTTAATAAATCTTATTTGCACTCGTGCGATAACAACCGAGGACGCCACTGTCGATTTATCTTTCCGTACTTTGTATTCCGTCTTTGCGTATTGCAGAGTTATCTTCTCTTGGGAGCAGGTATTGATTGTTACGTCACTNTTACTCTCACAAACAAGTGACGTAACAATCAATACCTGCTCCCAAGAGAAGATAACTCTGCAATACGCAAAGACGGAATATACCATACATGTCATGTTATGGTGGACAAACGTAACTGTGTTTCTTTCCTTTAACAGTTCTAACTTCTGTGGCGGGTGTAATGCTGACTGGTACGACATAAGCGGGAACAAAGTTAGCTGCTAGGTAAGTTACACCACACACTTCATAAGAAAGTCTGTATTAATGGGTTACACATATCAAAGATATCATGTTTCAAAATTAAAAGAAAAAGAGAAATATATAATTAAGTCGAACTTTTCGGAAACCATTCGAGGCTATATCTAGCGGACAAGTTACACGGCGACAAATGAGCTGACTAACGATTATAAGCATGGACTGGAATAATTGTATTGATAACAACGAATGTTTGAAAGGAGAGTTTGTCTTACGCAGTTAAGTGGGGAGTTGAGATATATTCTTTTACTATAAACATAATCCTGCCATCTTCAGATATCATTTTAAGTAATATCTGGAGTTGATGTCTTGGCCACAATGTTGACCTCATTATTAAGTAAATGAACATATAACTGCTCAATGGCATTTATGAATGACAAGAATGCTCAATGAAAACGTTCAGTGTTAAGATGTTGCTGTTGTTCTCGTCACACGACTGGAAATTCAGGTGGTGTTGTGAAGATACCAGGTATCGCGATGTGGACGAATGATAGTCGAGAGTTATTAACGAAAGGGCACTTATAAAGTTAAAAAGGTTCGTGATGGCATGACGTAGGAAAGGCCTTTGTTTTGTGCTATCAGTTCACCTCAATAAAAATAAGATGTCTTTTGAGTTCATTCCCTGTTCAAGTCATAGGATGTCGCTGTCACTACCAAGGAATAACAACAATATGACGGAGGGTCAGTGAAGTGTGTTCTAAGTTTTTTAACAATGTTTTATCTTTTCAGGAGTTGATCGGGTGTAACCACTACTGATCGTCGAACCAAGTTTACTGGCACAACGAAGAACATTAACAAATTTAAATTGTCACCATTGCTACTTGGTATTAAAAAGCATCTCAAAAAGCAAACACTGTATATTTATCTTACTTTGTAGATATGCATGCGTGTCATATAGCTCTTATTAAGACCAGAATCCATATAGTATCCCACTATTTTTGTCTATAGCACTAATCACAAGTAACATACTTGTCGTTTTTAAGCAATTTAAAAATAATGGGCACGGGACACGCGATATTCTTCCCCTAGATGAACACTTGGGTACATGTACCAATGCCAACTGTGGGGTATTGCCGAGTAAGGACTTAAAAAAATAAAAATGTATTTCGAAAGAGAGAAGATAAAAAGGATCCTGAATGAGCAAAGCTAGAGTAGGTCTGGTCGCTTCCGTATATCCAAGCGGAAAACAAATCCTCAATTCTGCAGGAGGTATTTACATTAGTCTCGACGTTTGGTAAGACAGTCTTCAACTCCAGGATACGATGTAGAGCTAGAATTCCTTACATCGATACACTCGTCATACAAGCCAGGTCCAGTGTGTTGGACAGGTGGTCCTAACGACGACACGTGCTTTTGGCGTATGGATAACAAGACGGCCAGTGAACCTCCTCGGAGAAGGTTACATTTGTATTTCTTCGGGCATGTGCTTACCTATTGATCGCAGTGTCTGACAACTTGCAGTTCACAAAATAGTTCATACCTTTCAGGTTAGGCATTTACAAAATCTGGACCACAAGTGCACGGACAGGAAGTTCTGTTTCATGATTTCCTGCTGTTGCATATCATAATTACTAGGCCAATTTCTCTTTCATTCTTTTTTATAATGCTGGATTTGTTTTGATATTACTGGTATATATGGTTTGGTTGATTTTAAATGGTTTAACGCCCTATCAACAGCTACAATGTCATTTAAAGACGTGCTTTTATGTATGCGTGTGTGTGTGTGCTAGTGTGCTGGAGACAGGATATATTGGTGCAATTGCCTCTTTGCAGACTTTATACTGACAACGCGTAGTCAAGGGGAACAACTCTAACTTAATACTTGCTAGGTGCCATATACGCCACCTAGCGTCAGTTCTTTGCTTGACGGTTTTGTAAATACATTTCAGGTTATTCGTAAATATACATCCAATTGGTTGTTATTTTGTATTGATATGTATGTGCAGGTCAAGTAGAGGGCATAGGCAATAGTTCATAAATAAAATGTTTTACAATCTATTTATTTGTTGTTGTTCCCCTTATTGATGTGGGTTTAGGTAAAGGGTAAACCAGTTAATGTAATTACCCCAAATACTGAACGTTAAGCAGTGAATAACAACTACTACGCTTAAGGAATTGGTATGCCCCGGCCTTAGGACAGAACTCATTGCTTTCCTCGCCTGGGTAAACGTTCAAAAAAGTAAAGCCAAACGTGCGGTATTGCCAAGCAAGACATTCGTAAACAAAAGGTAGTTAGAACTAGAGAGCTATAAAGATCTCAATTATTATTGCAGAATTATTTTGGTTGCTTTAGTGCCCCAAGAAGCGGACACATAAAGAAATCTCCAATTATGCAGGGGGTTCCTACAATAGATGCACCTACGATCATGCAGTGGGTAACAGCAGGTGATTTCTTTGACAGGGGTGTAGTATATATGGAACGTTTTTAACTTATTTGATATTAAGAAAAATATATTGAAAAAAATATACCGAAAATAATATATCATAATAGATTGTTTTTGTAAAAATCAATGTACAGTGTACATAAAATCAAAATAAATAAAGAAAACGGAATGTGAGCATCAGATCAGTACAGTTTAATGAGATATCAAAAATATTTTATAGAATTTTGTAAGTCATCAAACCAAGTAAGCTTAATTTGGACAGTATTAATTAAAATCTAACAGTATTTCTCTAAAATCATTTCGTAACTTCCTGAAACCCAAGATATAAGTTAAAAAAACATTAGTGCAATACATTGCATTTCAAAACCGTAATACAATATTGCCAGAAAAAAAATATTGGAATATATTTGCCCATCCTTTTTTTCACACGGTCATATGACATGTTATGCGAATCTCTAACCTTGTAGCATACCTTCTTGGCCAGTGCACGAAATACAGATAAGACTGCCCTATCCTTCCTCTGTCCTGACCATACCAGTCTATACTTACGATTACAAACATGAGGTCGTTAGCATTTGTTCTCCTCACAGTCTGCGTCCTAGGTAAGTTTTTAATGTCGCCAAAATCGTAAAGTTACATTTAAATGCATGGTCTCTGATTGGGTAGTTTACTGATCATCCATTAATTTTCGTCGATGTTGTGAAAGTATTACCTGACATTGCCATCGTTATTGTACACATAGTAACGTAGCTGACCCTAAATTGTTACGTGTTTGTAACAAACCTTATTCATTAACGTGTTTATATAACTTGCGTAATTAAAGCACTTGAAAATTCAGAGTTACAGGAAAAATAGAAAGATAAAAAACAATTTATCAGTAATTTAATTGGGATGTCCGTACTTCAATTTACGTAATATGTAAAGCAAGGAACATAATTGTTTTCCTAATGTGTATTTTGGCATCGTTTATCTCGTCTTACTCGTCACTTTAATGCAGAATAAAATATAGTTTATACGGGAAAATACATCTTACAGTTCTACACTTTTAGGGAGCGTCACCGCAAAATCGTTGGAATCGAAATCTCTGCTAGACACGATCCTCGGGCATCACGGCTGTCAAGGTGGCGTTGGCTTGGTAAACTGTTTTGTAGACCCATGTATGGTAGCACGATGTTCTAACACAGCTGCAGTGCATTGCGTGTAAGTAAATCTACGTTAACTCAGTTATGTCCATGAACTCCTGATGATGTTTACTACTTTCACATGCATTCCTCTTGATAAGGACAGCATTGTGTTACCTACATGTACGTATATACGTTACCTTAGGTGACAAGTCATACGGGTAAAATTACTCGGCTAAATGTTCCTGAATATGCATACGTTTTTGACCACATTTTAAGTCCACTAAGGTGCGGAATGGGTACGTCCATCTGACTGCCAGACACCGACCATTTGCACTCTGTGCTTAGCAAAGAAAAAGACGCTTTCGTTTCAAACATACTATCACAGTCCTAAAAGTACTATCACAGTTCAAAACATACCATCACAGTTCCAAAATTACATCATATTTCTAAATATAACATAATTTCACAGTTCCAAACATTACATACTACAAATACATCACATGTATAAAAACTATAAATAGCTGTTAGTTCCGAACATAACACATTTCAATTCTAGTCTTAGTCTTACTCTATATTTCCTCATATGAGGTTAATGCCCCTGACAGGATACGAGATATATTACGTCAACTCGTGACACACCTGAACCAGGTACAGCATGTGTGTGATATTATTGGCAGTGGTGCGATACGAATTTCTATTGCTGATTGTGTATAGTGTAGTAGAAGCTTGTTTACATTAATGTACTTGGTTTTTGTCCAGTTCCAACTACTGTGGTGGCTGTCATGCTGACTGGGAGGACGTGAACGGTATGGCTGTTACCTGCTAGGTAACGTTCTTGACGGTAGGTATTCTCCCGTTCATTAGATTGCACGTTCTCAAATTGGAATATAAGTCACTCAAGCTTCAGCTTTCGTGGCCATCCGATACCCCTCAATACTGTTAAATACCCTGCAATAAGTCCAGTGGGCCAACACATAAGCTCTCACTATAAACAGATGCTCTTACAACAGAATAATAAAAAGAGCATTGCTTGCATTTCTATTGAACTACTCTAGATTATGGAGGGCTTATTACCAGCTATGAGCTTAATGCCAGTTAAATACGGTGTATGATTTAGGGCTGTCCATTAAGCTTACTTTTTAATTACAAGTACATATATATCAGTTGCAGGCTGGCAATGGGTACGACTTCCATGTTTGTATGTAACACCTCGAGTATTAATAGTCTTACATTTATGTAGGCATGGAGGGTATGGGGCCTCTACCTCTACCTATGGAAGTAGAGCCGAGATTCTAACTGAAATATTTTATACCCGAGAGTAATTTTTGACCTTGGGTGTAAAACATTTATAAAATCTTGAGTCTTTCCCATAATTTGCACTGCTGGGAAGAATTTCCATACCCTCCATTCTTACATGGATAGGACTCTTTTGTTTCTCCCCTCTCCTACCCTACAACTTTTGAACACCACGACATTTTTACTACGAACAGGACTAGTAAATACATAGTTTGCTAGACTTTGATCAATGTAATGAATTCGAGACTTTTCTAAAGAAAAGATCCCACAGCTTGATATTGAATACGTGACATGAAAACGTCTTACTGCAACAGAAATTTGGCCATTAGGACATTTTGACAATTAACATATAACACTCCCAGCCTAAAAGCAGTTTTTTTTAAAAAGACATTCTTATTAGATAATAAATCGGGCGAATGATATTGTATTAAAACATTCTAAAAATTCAAAAGACAAGTGATGCTAGGGGCTTCATTTAATCTCGCAGAAATGTACTAGTCTCGGACTAGTGAAGTTTCTAACCTTTTCGACACTTCAACTGCAACACCAAATACGAAAAATTCATTTTACTATCTAAACGTAGGATTAGGCCATATTCAGAAAGCAAAAGGAAATAGGGCATACATATGATTGTTATTGCCAATAATTGTGTAATAATTCTGGTTTCCATGATTTAGTGTCTTAACTCGATGGGAAATGGGAAACGATGTTTTCACATGCTTTCAATGTGATAATGAAACGTCATCTCATTGTGACGTCAGTATCGTATAGTTACCGATATATGCCATATTACACACTATGCTTACTTTTGTGTTCGAGTTATCTCCCTTATGTCTGTCACTAACCATTACCAGATATTTTAAGCATTTCGCATTGCACTTATTATTGTGTAACTTTGCTCATTATTTAGACCAATTTGGATGTAACTTTTGACCCACTCTGTCCTACATTTTGACCTTTGACCTACATCAAAGAAAATGTTTGTCCGGGGTCTATCTCCTACACTACTAGTCACTGGAACTTAATACTTGGTGTATGGACTGGGTTCACCTTGGTGGGGCGGTGTGTCATGTATCAAGAGTAGGTCACTCTGACTAACATTTTGACCTTTGACATACATCAAAGAAAACGTTTGTCCGGGCTCTATCTTACTACTTGGTGTATGGGTTCACCTTGGTAAGGTGGTGTGTCATGTGTCAAAAGTAGGGCACTCTGTTTTTGACCTTTGACCTGCATCAAAGAAAAAGTTTGTCCGGGGTCTATCTCCTACACTACAGTTATTTGAACTTCCTGCTTTGGGCATGGGTTCACTTGCATTGAAGAAAAAGTTTACATAGTGTCACCAGATGTAATTTAATAGTAAAACGGTACCACTAACCAGTAAACATCCACCAGATTTATTTGCAATAGTAGCACTGACACTATTCCTTATTGAATACGGCGAGTCTGTCAAACACTCATATATAGAATTATTTCCTGCATGAATGTATCATCTGTGTATTTCACGTTCGGTGGGGGAGTATACGTATAATTCGCCGAATTGTCTTGTTTTTTCAGGAACTGCTACATGTAGATTCAACACAGCCAAATACTACACTTGACAACTGTTAATGCCGTTTGTCTTTTGTCATATTTTTCGACTTTTATAAAATATCGTTTTTAAACTTGTGTGTTTTGTGTTTACTATTAAAACTCTTGTTATAATGTAAAAGCTGTATTTTTAAGATGTCCCTCTACACAACACTAACGCCTACGAGTATTTAACCAAATCCCTCTACACAACAATTACGCCAACGAGTATTTAACCATGCAATAGGAAAACTATGTCAGCAATGACAAAAACAAATTCGGAATACATTCACCCCAGGCGTTGCGCTCACCTTAAACTCTCTGCACCCCTGGAACATATCATAGCAAATTTGAAGGCTAATCAGTTTGCGCCACCTTGTTGATGAAACAAGACAAGAGGCCCAAGAGGGCCTGTATCGCTCACCTGAATATTTAAGCAGTCATAGCAAAATATTTTCATTAAATATTATATTGCACTAAAAATAATTCCCTTTGTTGGCTCCATCCGTTGAAACTATCAGCAAAATATTATTATAAGATTCTGTGCTTTTTTATTCTTCTTCAGAAGTTGCTTGACATATTTTTCTCTCTGTGACCTCAAAAGTATGGGGGAAGGTCATTTTCATTCGTAAACTTTGGTGAGCTCTATCCCAGGAAGTAACCAGCTAAATATTATAATTGTATGCCTTAAGTTGTTTGAACTGTTTGACATATTTGAACGCTGTGACCTTGAACGTAAGTCAAGGTCATTTCCATTCGCAAACTTTGTTTGGCTCTTTCCTAGGAAGCCACGTGCCAAATATTAAGATTTTATACCTTTCAGTCCTTCAGAAGAAGTCGTTTGAAGTATTTGACAAAACTGCCTCATGTGACCTTAAAAGTAGGTCAAGGTCATTTTTATTCTCAAACTTTGTTGGGCTCTTTCCTAGGAAGCTACAAGCTAAATATAAAGGTTATATACCTTTCAGTTCTTCAGAAGAAGTCGTTTGAAGTGTCTGATACATTTGACCCTGTGACCTTGAAAGAAGGTCAAGGTCATTTTCATCCTCAAACTTTGTCGGGCTCTATCCCAGGAAGCCATCAATCAACTATAAAGATTCTATACCTTTCAGTTCTTCAGAAGAAGTCATTTGAAGCTTTTGACACATTTGACCTCTGTGACCTTGAAAGTAGGTGAAGGTAATTTTCATTGTTAAACTTTGTTGGGCTCCATCCCAGGAAGCCATCAGCCAAATATGAAGATTCTATACCTTTTAGTTCTTTAGAAGAAGTCGTTTGAAGTTTTTGACATATTTGACCCCTGTGACCTTGAAAGAAGGTCAAGTTCATTTTCGTTTTGAAACTGTGTAGGGCTCCTACCAACAAAGCTTTCAGCCAAATACCATGACTCTAGGACTGTCCGTTCTTCAGAAGAAGTTGTTTAAAGGAAAAGTTGACGGACTAGGACGGACGACGGACGTCGCACCATAACATAAGCTCACTTTGCCCTTCGGGCAGATGAGCAAAAAAAAACTAGTTCGATCCTTTGATGTACATCGAAAAAATCTTGCGTCACGTAACAGTAAAATAGACAGGCTGTCGAATGTCGCTCCTTTGTAATCTTCAAAGGACATGTATCAGCTTAGCGATTGAATTGGTTAGTGGGGTTTTTCACGAGACCAATCAAACAGCTATCTTCGTGCCTTCCATTTTGCTAAGACTTATCCTTGGTGTGCAAAGAGCGAAAGTGAGCGTAACCTAGCTACATTTATTTATGAAGTGTCGAGGATGACAAATAGAAAACGGGAACTTTATCGACATGAACACTGCATAAACACTTAACAACAATAAACGCCTGTCACGTACCGTGTCGTATCCAGTTGTATATTGCTACGTGGTAAAAGGATAAAGTTGAAAGATACAGCGAATAGACAGACGGATGAATTAACAGATGTGAATAGAACGAAATGATAAACGTTGGAAATTATCTGGCAAGATAAGACTATAGCAATCACCGTGACGGGTAAATAGTGTGCTGTAGTATATACTGGCAGACAAGTTTCTACATAAAAATGTGAAAGTTATTAAAGTTTCCTACAACAGTCACTTTCCACGACATCCAGGGAAATACGTCGCCCACAATCGATCTTAGACAGAATGAACAAATACTGATACTGGAATGGCAGTGCTGAACACGACAGACCAACCTTTGTAGACTGTAGAAATTTCACAGCTAGACACCTTGGTACTTCTTATCGTGTAACAAACGACCATCTACATGTAGATATTATAATTACTTCTACATTCTACCTATAGGTAACACGTACAATGATAACAAACGACAATCTACATTTGTAGATATTATTTCTACATCAATTAAATCAAGTAAACTTTAGGGTGAATACCTAGGTACCACGTACAATGATAACATACGATAGACCTACATTTGTAGATATTGCTTCTAGGTAGCACGTGCAATGATAACATACGATAGACCTACATTTGTAGATATTGCTTCTAGGTAGCACGTGCAATGATAACATACGATAGACCTACATTTGTAGATATTACTTCTAGGTAGCACGTACAATGATAACATACGATAGACCTACATTTGAAGATATTACTTCTAGGTAGCACGTACACGTACAATGATAACATACGATAGACCTACATTTGAAGATATTACTTCTAGGTAGCACGTACAATGATAGCATACGACAGACCTACATTTGAAGATATTACTTCTAGGTACCACGTACAATGATAACATACGATAGACCTACATTTGTAGATATTACTTCTACATTAAATAAAGGAAACTCTAGGGTGAATACCTAGGTACCACGTACAATGATAACATACGACAGACCTCCATTTGTAGATATTACTTCTACATTAAATCAAGGTAACTCTAGGGTGAATACCTAGGTACCACGTACAATGATAACATACGACAGACCTTCATTTGAACACAATGAGCCTACAATACTGAAATCAAACAGATGGACACCAGTAAATATTTATACTATGAGCGACTAAATGTACGACAAATCTAGACAATTTTGTATAAAGTACACCACTGAAATAAACAAGGTCCAGAGCTGGATACCAGTGTACCAAACCACCAATACGCCAAACACACCAAATGAAGTTACAGTTTCCTGTAATAAGCCCAGTGGGCTAGCATATAATCTCTCCAAGTAGGGTAATAAAATTATAACAGGAAAATGAAATAGCCATTTGCTTACATTTCTTTGAAATTCAGTTGATTCTGGTGGGCTTATTACCAGGCATAGGCTTAATGCCGAATAAATATTGTCCTTAGACACGTATACATTTACGTCTCTATTGAACCAATCGACAGGCCCCACTTGTATAAAACATCTCAAAGTTAAGAAAAATCTCAAGCAATGTATTGTCTATGGGAAATCTTAGACTTGAGGAAATCTCAAGAGTTGAGATGTTTTATACAAGATTCATTAACGTTTCTTAAACTTAGGATTTTCCATAGGAAAGCATTGCTCATAAAGTTAAGCAAAATTTCTTGATTTTCCATAAATTCCTGTAATGCTATCCAAGGAAACTAAGGCCGAACTAAGAAATTTCCTTCAACAACCAACTTACAGACAGGTAACATGCCTGTATACACTACTCACTTTCAAATACCAGAACATCATGAACAGATTTTTTTTAGAATAAATATGCAGCTTTGAAAGACTCTAAAAGTGGCTAAACTAATATCCGAGGATTGCTTTAGAACCTCATATCCATGTATGTAATGAGTGATCGAAAGGCTGTAGCTGATGTTACAATAACACAAAGAACAAAAGTTTTGGTATTCTTTAATTTTATTTCATTGGTTAACAATTAATTTTCATTTGTTTAGATGCATTTATTGTTCATTCATTGGAAAATATGGGAGGGGGGGAATATGCTGGTATGTTCTTTTTTTCAAAGATGTATTTGTAAGAACTCAATGCTATCTGTCACAATTATCAGTATTTGATACAAAACAGATGTCTAGGCACAGACAATATATATAATAAGATTGTTCTTTTAATAAGGTTGCTGAAAATGTGTAATTGATCCCTATAAATATTTGGCAATACATTTTGTATAAATGTACCTCAATCAGACCCACACAATCCATGTTGGGGCACCGACAAAATATGGAAAGAGGGATTTTTAGAATTACAACTCAGGTAGACCATGGTTGCGGTGTACCCTGCAAAACACATCAGCTTCTTAAACCCAGCAGGGCACAGTATGTTGTACTTTTATGTAGGAGAACAATTAATTAATTTTGTCATAGTGTAATTGGATCGGATTTTCAAAATCAACACCCAAAACCAGAAATGTAATAGTTCTATTGAAAAATATCACATATATTCCTTTGTGAAACTGTGTCACAACATACTGGGATACTGCATGTATCTTAGTCAGTTTTACAACTTGTATCACGTGCACCCCAGTAAATATAATCAACTTGTACACTGCGGCTTACACTCCAAACATAAAATAATAAGTTTAAATCAACAATAGATCCCATAAACTTGCTATTTAGACTCGATACTGCATGCTAACAAGTGACATGTGCGTGACATGTCTGCCAGTTTTTAAGGGAGACTGTCGTTCCTTGCCCTATTTTTTACCATTGAAATTGGCAAAATTCCATTATGTACATCCTGTGTTTTGATCATATTAAATTGTTTCTTGCACAGACCAACACAGAATTTCTCATTTCAAACAAATGTTTTGTCCAATACAGTCATTGTCAGTACTCCTGGTTTCTCCCAAAGGAAATTTGAATGATCGACAAGTATATATGATTATGGACTTTTAGTATAAGGCTATAGTACAATGTACAAACTAAATTTGCTGCATTTTCTCCATGTTTACATTTCATACAAAGCTTCTCACCAACACTTTACAACATGCTAAATAAAATAGAGATGTTCAATAATGCTGTAAATCTTTAATACGTTGTCCACACTATGTCTGTTCTGATACAACGATTCTATTCTCAACAACAATCAGTTTGGAGTTACCTCCCCTCGATAATAAAACCAATGTCTCGACACTTTTTACAGCATCATTTTAGAAAGAATTTATTTGTACTAAAGCAAAGTTACCACCATATTGAAACAGAACTTTAGATTGTACAATGATATTAATGAAGTTCTACTGTTTTGCTCTAGGTTCGAGAACTAGAAGTTGCATCATGTGATCAGAGCAAGAAGCAAACATATTTAGCGGTTCTACTATACAGTAAAACATCCAACAATTACTGACAAAAATCATACAATAAAATCAACACATTTAATCAAACAATAATCATTTTTCTATATATGGCATTTCTAACAGCACCTCCTTATGGGTACCAGATTCCCACAACATTTACCACCTACTTTCTGTTCCAGCTATGATAGCACTAAATCACATCATTTAATATCAGATACAAGTTCCTAACAAGTTATTTCGCTGTAGGCACGCTACAATTGTACATCATATAGACTCTTAAACAATACCTATATGCAGTTTGTCTTGAAAAAGTTATTAACTTGTACAAATTACCTAATTCCAAACATTTGTGATATAACAATCATGATCATGATTTACAACAAAAATTAGATTAAGAGGAATTCATAATAATTTAGATATTGATTACTTTAGAAAATATATAAAATATATTACACAATTTTCAAAAACCAAATTAATGTCAATATGCAATTAATTAGATATTTATTTGGCCTACTTAAGAAAATATACATAATATATATTACACAATTTACCATCAGGTTCAGCAAGCAGGGTACAAATAAAACAAAACCAGAAACAGGAATTTGAGAAATTCCTCAATTGGTAAAAATAAATGCAGCAAGGATTGGTGTGTAGGTCTCAACTTCAACTAAGATAAATAAAATCAAAAGATTTCATGTGGCGACGGCTCTGTGTTACTGGTTAAGGACCTTTGCATGGTGTTTCATATGATCCTCCATGAAAGTTGCCATAAAGAAGTAACTGTGGTCATAACCCTGTAACAGAAGACAGAACACAACTATATTACATTACTTTATTGGAGATGGAGTCACACTGAGAATTCACTGTTATTAAGCTTTATACCATGCATTTCTTGTAGCAATGCATTCAAAACAGATACATAGCTTAACAATAGTTCTGCAGGGCAGACTAATATACACCAGTCCCATGCAAACCTGACATACCTAAAATCCTTCTGATGCATTATTGTATCAAAATGTATGAAAATATGGAAATGAGAGAAGAAAAAATATTTTATTGCATTACCGATACTCATTAAAATTGAAAACTATTGCTGGAATGTGAATGTGATGAAAAGAGAAAACATACTGCACTTTACCAACTTTAGCCTTTAAGTAATACAATTATTTTATGTATCTTTTATGACCTTTAAAAAAATGATTTTGATAGGAATTGTCTCCCTTTGTATATATTTCAAACAATTGGCCCCTTTGACATCAATTGATTCAACTTCCACTAGTAAAACTAAAGGCACTTATATTGTTCATTAATTATTGTCAGATTTGGTGATTAGACAAAGTGTCAATATTGACTAAAAATAAGTCTCGTCCGAATCATATTTGACTATGTATGGAAACCATCGACCAATCAGATAGCAGTATGTAATAAATTATGTGCAGGTCTTGACCACCTTTAAGCTTAGCTCTTGTTATTGTTTAATATCAGTATTTACCAAGTTTCATCAGAATCTGGTCATATTTGACAAAGTTATTGTGCAGAAACTATCACCCAATCAGAGCACATTATGCTAATTATTAATTGAGTGTAAATTTTGCCTAACTTCAAACTTAGCCCAAGTCTTAATATAATATACATGCACACTAAGCTTCATCAAAATCGATTGATATTTAAGTATGTCTTCTTGTGGAAACAAAAGTTTGGAAATTTACCTAACGGAGAACAGAAGGCCAATGAATTAATTAATTGACGTGACGTCGCAGAAATGGTGTCTTATATAAATGGTGTAGAGCTGATCCAAATCTTGCTTTTTATTTTACGTATTAAATTTTGCCAATTTAAGGAATTTGGATGCTCTATATAAAATTGCTTTCCGAGGTTAGAATACAAAAAAATATGATAGGTTAAAATATGATTTTATTTATCGCCAAGTACATGTATGTGTTTAGTATAGTGAGTCTCAGTGATAATTATCAACCTCTGTAAACATTAGCAAGAGAAATACCATCACAGCTATTACATTTTACTTTATTTAATCTTTATTGTTATTTGACGGAATGGCTAAGAAAATCTACAAACCTCTTGCATTCTGAGGACCACAGGCATCTTGGCCTCCGCACAGGCAGCAACAAAGTTGTCGGGAAGTAGCTGGCCTGCTGGCAGGAAGTTGTCAGCCTTTCCCTACAGAAGAGAATGCATTGAAATGGAAACGTTTTTGTCATTTGCTGTTAGTTCAAACTTTTAAGTTTATGTGTACATTTACTGCAAGGGTGAAACATCAAAATTGACATATTCAATAAAATCTTGATACAATGCCCATTGTTTTATTTGTCTGCCTATAAAACACAATCATTTCTCTGTACTAATTTGTATCAGAATTACAAAGTATCATTGTATCCTGTGATTGTAATAAATGAATATTTTATATATATTTAAATAAATCTGATTTTATATAAAGCTGTCTGATCACCTGCAGTCTTCATACCTTTTCTGTTGAATTATTAAGAGTACGTTATTATTCCCTATATGAGACATTTCTCATTGATATGAGTACAATTTGATGGATGCATAACTTTCTACACTACATTTAAACCAACAAACCTGATCAATGTGGATTTCTAGAGGAGGTCCATTGTACTTCTTCACAAGTTCAGTCGCATCATATTCCTGTCACAGAAAACAATCATATATAAACATCAAAGTCTTCTTCATAATTCTTCAAAATCATTTATTTCAGCATAGATTTGAAACTTTTACATTTATATGTTTTCCTGAATACATCTTTCACAAAGTTTTTAATTCTTCAACTCAAAACCAACTTCAAGCCGTGTGTTATAAAATGCATAACTATCAGCAGACAGAAATAGCAGTAAAGTTACAGTTTTGATTTTGTAGTAAGCTCAATACCTGTACATAAAAACTTTAATGATGAACACTGTATCTTCAATCAAATAGTTAATGATGAATCAATGAGAAAACAAGTTCCCCAGACATGAGAGTTATCTACCTTCCAGTCCTCTTTGTTGTCACCAAGGTAACCAGAGAATGCCTTCTGTCCCCAGGGACAGTTGATGGGGTTACAGATTGGAGCGAAGGCACTCACTGCCTTGTACTTTCCTGGATTCTTCAGTGCACAAATCAAAGCTCCATGTCCTCCCATACTATTTGGGCAACAAAGAATTACTAGCATATTGAATTTTGTAGGGTTCTCAACAACTTCACCATTCCATATGCTGTACCCTAATCACTTAAATGTAAATTTTAAAATTTTGTGATACAAATGTATATTCATGACTTGTAAGACAAGAACCAGCATTTTACAGCATAACACTTTATAGCTGCGGGAACCACGTAGCTTCTAGGCCCGATCTTTTTAATTAATTCTTTTTTATTGATATCGGATGGTCCGATAACAATAAATAAAAATAAATAAAAATTGGGCCTATGATTACTGCTGCTTAACACTTTATTGATAAATGTTAGATATAGTTTTAAAACTTTCAGTAATTTTTCTTTTGGATGTACATTAAATTGTAACTTGTGCGTCTAATTAACACCTAATATCTGGTACATGCTATACTTTTTTAGTTCTATATAGTGTGTTACTGATCCAGCCCCTACAACAGTAAAGACGGCCAGGAAATTTATAGAGGGGAAAGTACATGTGTAAGGCTGGGAGTCCCATGTATATCTTGCGACTTCCATAATATTATAATAACAAACAAAACAACAAATCTGTTGAACTGAATGTACCATTTAACAGAAGAGGAAAGACTATATTAGCTTCAATTTTAATGTGACCCCTTGATAAAATAACTCCTACTGACCCACAAATAAAACTGTGAGGATAAACAAGAGAAATGTATACGGTACACAAATATCTGTCTGTATCTTACCTGTGACCGAAAATGGACATTTTCTCAGGAATGGCTGCAAAATTGCTATTGATTAAGGCTGGGAGCTGAAAATAAATATTCACATTTAAATTGGAATCTGTGTTCCTGAAGGAAACCTCTACAAACAAGAAAATACTTCTTGAATTTTATACATGTACATGAATGAAAAAAGTATCTTACTATAGCTAGTGGTAAGATATATCAATGTCGTTCTGAAATTATTAAGATTAAAAACCTGAATAATTAATTACAGTACCACACCTCAAGCTCAGTGTCACAGACATATTGAACATGTCACAGACACAAATTTCAGTAACAAACTTCCTTACACTAGATACCAAGCACAAGCCAGACACACCTTTGGACATCAGTAACCTGATAAAACCAAGGCTTGCCATTCTCTCCAATCATTGAATTTCTTTAAAGCTCACTTATGCTCTTTGCACCACTGGAAATGTCAAAGCCAATTTTTGATTGGTCTCAGGTGAAAAAAAACTGACAAAATTGCTAAGCCTTTGAAATTTACACCGGAGCGACACCCAACTTCAAAGCCAGTCAATTTTACTGTTTGTTCAAACTAGTATTCCTGTCTCATCCAAAAAGTGGCCAAGATTGAGCTTTTCGATTTCACTATGACATATTCCAGGGGTGCAGAGAGTGAAATAAATGAGCTTAACCACTAGAGTATCCAGGATGACCTAGAAACACTGATGCTGAAATTTTACCATCACTTTCCTTATTATCTTATTTGTAATGGAGGTTTGAGCAGCTCCTCCGAGTTCTGCATCCAAACACTTCTTTTCTCTTTATCCTGAACTCTTCAGATGTACAAATCGAGTTTCAACAATTTTCATTAAAAAAATATTGTTCACTACAGCTTTTTTTAAATCACTGCTTAAATCTTTCCTTGAAAAATCTCCAGTTGTGATTATGTAAACTTACCTCCTCTGTGATGTAAGCATACATTCTGTAGTTAGTTTTCCACTTGTCCTGAGTGGCGTTAACATAGAAACCAGCACCCGACCCGAAGTCATAGGCATCATCTTCACCTTCAATGTTACAACCTCCTACAAGTAACAAGCCATTTGGATTGATATGTATCGCCTGTGCTCCGCTTACACCATCAATGAACATATCAGAGAAACTAACACAAAAACATAATGTTGATGGAGATGCTGACAAAGTCAATGGACAATGAAAGGTAGGCCGCATCCAGCATTTGATGCATGGATTGAGATGTACTACCTAAGATGCATCTATGGTCTAAGTTTGGTTGGTCTAGCACGTCTATACTTTCAGAAAAACTAATTTTAAGGCAAAACCTTAATGTTGAGGCAGTCGCCGCCGGAAAAAGCAATACCTTAGTCTCGCTTCCACTTCGTGGCGGCGAGACAAAAACGATTTTTTACAGAAATGTGTACAAATAAACAGCAGTCATCTTAACAGAATTTGTATAACTGATTTTTATTTCATTATAAACCAAAAACCCTGTATCTATTCCAAACCACAATTGAAGCATTATTTGGTTTAACTGACAATTTATTCAAACTACATTTCTCTTTTAAACATATAAATCATATATAAAGAAAAAGTGACATTTTGCGTGTGGAAGTATTCGTTAGTGACCCTTTGTACTGATTGCAATGCACAATTGTTTGTGATTATACTAGATTTGAAATCTATATATTCTGTTTATCTATAATCTGTATAATTTATGATTCATATGTGGATATTTTTGCACTTATTTATATTTACTCAATGCAAAATCCAATAACATTTTCAAACCACGAAAATTTCCTCTTTTACAGTATAGGTAGCAGTATAAAGTAGAGGGTTGTGGCCATCGGTGATATTTTTGTTAAATGGTTTACCCCTGTATAATGATACGTAAAAAAATATAAAAACAAGAGGCCCAAGAGGGCCTGTATCGCTCACCTGAATATTTAAGCAGTCATAGCAAAATTTTCTCATTAAATATTATACTGCACTAAAAATATTTCCCTCGCAAACTTTGTTGGCTCCATCTGTTGAAACTACCAGCAAAATATTATTATAAGATTCTATGCTTTTTGATTCTTCTTCAGAAGTTGCTGACATATTTTTCCCTGTGATCTTGTAAGTAGGTCAATGTCATTTTCCTTCTCAAATTGGTTAGCTCTATTCCAAAAAGCTACCAGCCAAATCTTATGAATCCATTCCTTTTAGTTCTCAAGAACAAATCCATTAAAATGTTGTTGACCTCTGTGACCTCTAAAGTAGGTTGAGGTCATTTTCATTTGCAAACTTTGGTGAGCTCTATCCCGGGAAGTCACCAGCCAAATATTATAATTTTATGCCTTTTAATTCTTCAGAAGAAGCTGTTTGAACTGTTTGACATATTTGAACGCTGTGACCTTGAAAGTAGGTCAAGGTCATTTTCATTCGCAAACTTTGTTTGGCTCTTTCCCAGGAAGCCACCTGCCAAATATTAAGATTTTATAACTACCAGTTCTTCAGAAGAAGTCGTTTAAAGTGTTTGACATATCTGCCTCATGTGACCTTAAAAGAAGGTCAAGGTCATTTTCATTCTCAAACTTTGTTCGGCTCTTTCCTAGGAAGCTACAAGCCAAATAT